TCATAGCCTTGAAAACCCAATGGAGTATTTCTATATTGCACAAATGGGATCTCTATGATTCAGAATTAAATGGGGAGCAACTAACAGCAATAACAATATATTACAACATGTATACTTTATACTTTGTGAGATTATATATATGAATGTACTTCTAAAAATATAGAGTTCTGTACAAAGGTCAAAGTTGGTGTCTGGTGTCATTTAATTTAATCCTTGTTTTTGGTGTTGTTATGAGCTGTCGAGTCAGACTCGACTCATAGCAACCCCTTCTTGGGTTTCCGAGGCAGTATCACTGCGGAAGTAGATTGCCCAACCTTCCTTCTGAGGAGTGGCTTAAAGTGCTCTAATTTTACCTATATGGGCATTTCCAGATATGTGATGTCTTACTGCTTTAATTATTTTAGTGGTTTTCTTTTGCTGTAGTATTGATGATAAGTTATTATACTCCTATCACTTGTGCTTATTTTTTTTTTTGTAAATTATTTCTCAGAAATAGTATTTTTAAAATACTCTTAAAATATAACATCTCCTTTTTAAAATTCTCCAATTTTCTTTTTAACTTTTGGATTTTTTATTTGTTTTGATACTTTAGCAGTCCTTGGAAAGCTAGAGCCTTATGCTGCCAATTTTCTCATTGTGAGTGTCCAGAAATAAAATATATATGTAATAAAATCACGGTTAGGTTATTTTAGAATAGTAATCTATTTACAATGCTCCCATATGGCAATTAGAATACAATATGATGTTATTACACCCAGAATTGCCAAATTAACAAGAAAATGTTGGTTTATGTGTACTTGAACACGTTTCAACCAGCTAAATAAAAATAAGCAATGTTTAAATTTTGAAAGTGGTAGAGAATCTGCACAAATTCCCAAATCACCACTCACATTCAAAATTTCAAAAATTGAGTTCCAATATACTTTATGAAATTAACAACTAATAAACAATATAACCAAGGAACCCAATACATAGGAAGAAATGTGTCAGAAATCTGTCATAATATTTCTTAATATTTTAATATTAAAAATATATATATTATATGTCATAATATTTTAGTGAATATGTGTGCTATAAAAATCCTTGCTTTGTAGAAAAATGTAAGGTTTTATAAATGTTTTTGTTACTTGTCCTAACATGATCTCCACTGCTACTACTCTGAGTAGGAAATTACTACTAATCTTACAGAGCACAATGCTATTAGCACAGCCTCAAAAAATGGAGTGGATTTTCCGTTTTATCAAAACATAAAGCAGATAGTTGTGCTCATTGATAAAATGGAAGAGGGAAGGTTTGGGTGAAATTACAGTCTAACTTGTGTCACCAGTGTGAATCTGATATGACATCCGCTCTGCCTGGGAGCTCAACACTGGATAAATCAAATTTCTTTTATTAAGTGAATTTCAGTATATGAGTACCCCTCACATCACCAAAATTGGATTAATCCTGAAAGATAAATAGAAAAATAACAAAGTCTAGTAATGATTCAAAAGATGAAGAAATTGGATATTTTTACCAACTTCTGCAGTCTGAAATTGACCAAACATGCAATCAAGAAGTATTTATTATTACTGGTGATTGGAATGTGAAAGCTGGAAACAAAGAAGAATCATTGGTGTTTGGAAAATATGGCCTTAGTTTAAAAAAAAAAAAAAAAAGAGAGATGCTAGACCAATGATTTATTCATTGCGTATGTCTTTCATTCAATAACATGAACGACAGCTATACACATGTACCTCGTCAAATGGAATACACAGAAATCAAATTGAAGACATATGAAAGAGATGATGGAGAAGCTCAATATCATCAGGCAAAAGAAGGCAGGAGCTACCTGTGGAACAGACCAATGATTGTTCATATGCAACTTCAAGTTGAAGCTGACAAAAATTAAAACAAATCCACAAGACCCAAAATATAACCTTGATTATATCCCACTTGAATTTAGAGACCATCTGAAGAACAGATTTGAAGCACTGAACATCAATGACTGAAAATCAGACGAATTGTGGGATGACACCAAGAACATTATATATGAAGAAAGCAAAAGATCATTGAAAAACAGGAAAGGAAGAAAAGACCATAATGGATGTCAGAAGATACTCTAAAACTTTCTCTTGAAAGGAGAGTAGCTAAAGCAAATGGAAGAAATGACAAGATGAAAGACCTGAGCAGAAGATTTCCAGGAGCAGCTTGAGAAGACAAAGTCAATTATTATAATGAAATGTGCAAAGGCCTGGAGTTAGAAAACCAAAAGGAAGAACACAATTGGAATTTCTCAAGTGGAAAGAACTGAAGAAAAAATTAAAACCTTGAATTGTAATATTGAATAAGTCTATAACCTAATACATGTTTCTAATCCACTGCAGAGCTCTTGTTTACTTTATGAACAGATATTAAGATTCAAACACCTGCAGGGGCCAAGGTAGGTTGTATGAATTATTTCAGTGGATCAGGTGTAATGAAATTCATCACCTTCAATATGATGGTCAGTAGGAATGGGGTCTAGGCCTCATTATCTAGAAGTGTCAGGAAATGGAAAAAGTTAGAAAGGACAAATGTCCACTTGAGGTAGAACCAATTTCCACCTCCACTTATTTTTTTCTGTTAGGAACGTTGCCCAGTTGTGGCAGGTTTTTGTTTTTCAAGAGAAATTGAAAATCTAGATTATCATTTGATTAATATTTTTTAAATATTAACAGGCAATAAAAATAAACAAAAATAAACAGTTGCATGCTAATATAGTTCAGGCTAACCAAGGAGGCCAACACTATACAATTAACCAAACCAATAATCAATGCCACCACAGCAATGCCCGGTGTTTGATTCAGCCAGAAGGCACCAGTTACCATCTCTGGTTTAGTCATTATTTGTGCTGGTGACATTGACTGAGACATTGAGAGAAGAGGATAGAGTTAAGGCTGCTAATATCCAGCTGTGCCTTTAGAGGGCTAAGGTAGCTCTGTGGCACAGTGCTTAAGGCATTTAGTGACTAACCAAAAAGTCAGCAGTGTGTTTGCAGTAGAAAAAAAGAAAAAACACCTGGTAGAACTGCCATAATTTACAAAGAAGAAAAAGTCCCTCTTTTACAGAACA